TCCATTTAACTGCCCTCCCCTGCGCCCGCCCGGGAGGGAGGGGCCGCGGCCGCCCGCCGGCGATTCCGGTCCCGGCGTCGGCGGGTGCGGTGGTGTGGTTGGCTCTCCGGCGGGACTGCCGTCCGAGGACCTGCTGTCGGACAGACGTGTGCGTTCGCCCCTGGTCTTCGCCGCGCCTCTGCCTTCTTTCTCCGAACTAGGAAGCTGAATCGGAATTTGTTCTCTTCGCTCTTTCAAAGGAAAAGGATATGTAACTATAAATTTACCTTGAGTTATAGTTTTAGCTGTCCTCAAAGTAGTTATAATTTTAAGCTTGTCTGTATTTATATACATTTGACCTAATTTATTTTTAGGTTGTGCTTTAAGCATGTCCATTTCTGCCCTAATTGTGTTTAACCAGATAGTTTAACCAGTGTGCTTTTTTTGGCAAATATTTTGATACTTGAAATAGTGACTTTTTAAGGTGTAATACTTGTTTTTAATGTCATTTCAGTCCTTATTTTTTGGTTAGCTGATTCAACAGCGTATAAGGATGTATATAAAATTGACTTCTATGCTTTTTCATATCAATTTCTCCTTGTATTTTACTTTTTTTTTTTTTTTAAGAAACTTATTTTGTGGCTGTTATTGAGCAAGGTCAGGCCGTTGTTGATACATATATTATGCCTTTGATCAATGTAAAACTGCCCGTGTAACACTTGTATTTTTCACCACTTTGCTTGACAATATGGCCACAGGGGGTTTTAGTTTACCAATTGAATGATCTTTTCACATCTTTTTTATTTTGGACCCTTTGTTGTAATTTTAAATGTTTCTTCTGAAAGGTTTAATAGAGCTAACTATTTGAGATTAATGGTTGTGATTGAGATGCTTGACTATTTTAAGACAAACAAGTTCTATTTCCTGCAATGATTTGCAATTGAGAATCTTATTTTATGAATGTTAAATTACAATGTTGAAAGAATTTTTTTTCTTCTCTCACTTCCCATTGAATGAGAATTCTTTCTTTTTCTCTCTTTTTATCTTGGTTAACTCAGACTAATATAAACTTTGTCACCTTTTCTTTGCAAAAAAATAAATGAAATAAATATGTGTGTGTGTATATATGTATATATATCTCCTCTATAAATTGCAGTCTCATTTCACCTTTAATCTTTTGTCATCCCATTGTTCTCTAAAAGAGAATTGTAAATTTTTTGAAATACTATATCTGAAAGAATACTGTTGTCTTAAGACTACCACAAGAATTTGAATTTGGTTTGGTATAATTTTGTGTTACATTTTTTTCTGTTTTATACTTTGGAAACTATCCCTCCCCCCCACCCCCCAAGAGTTTTTTCAGCTTATCACAGAAGAAAAACTTTTGTTTTTTCTTTATCTTTTTTTTAAGCTACCTAGCTATAATCCTTTTGTGTGTGTGCTTAAAAGAGTTAGGATCTTTTTGTTGTTGTTCTCATTTCTTTGTATTTGCTTCCAGGATGCATCTGTGGTTATACACTAATTTCAGTCTCCAGGTCTAGAGAAGTGTTGGCTAACTTTGCTTTTAAAAAAAACTACCTTTTTATTATTCTCTTTAATACTATTTAGTAACATCTAGATAATTTTGTTTCCTGCTCTTACTTCATTATCTTCTTTGTCATGGTTTTCATTATCTTGGAAAATGTCTTCAAAATTTCAGGTTTATTTCCCAAGGTTGTTCTCAGA